TTGTTGTTTTACACAGATTTCGTTTACATTTGTACAATAGTGAATTACAAAAATAGGTAAATAAGTAAATGAATAAATATTCGAAGCTCATGTTTTGGTGGGTGGTGGGGTCGTTGGAACAGTTAAAGGGATGTGGGGTTATCATATCTGAGGGTGATGTGGGCAGAGAGGGGGGGGGCGTTAGAGTGTCTGACGAGCCATGGAGAGAGTGTCTGTGTGTGTTTAAGGCAAGCCAAGCGTCAAAATCTGTGATGTGTGATCTAACTGCTGATGTGTTACTGTTTACAGTGTCTGTATGTTTTGGAGGGGGGGGGGGCGGTTGACGGACAGATTGCTGCATCAAACTCGTTGGACGAGAAGTACCAGGTATCCCCTCGTCCATAGTTGAGCAGCAGGATCTGGGTTAAGCCACCCGAACCGTAGTCAGGACAACTTTAGAATCTTCACTTTTTTTTTCCTGTGTTTAATGGAATTCCTTCCACACAGTTCACTCCTGTAGAGGCAGGGGCTAGCTGTGTGGATAGGTTGCATGTTAAAAAATTACAATGTAATACATAGTAGTTCATTAAACAAAATTTACAATGTCATTTTCTTATTTTTTAAACAGGTCATGTATTTAAGTTTCCTTATACAAAACGTCTAAAATGTGCAGTTTATTTTTCATTCGCGACTTCTATGTTGTGCGATTTATTCAACTCATGGATGGTGGTTCTTTGTGTGTACCTTTATACCCTCTAGAGGGAGGCCTAGTCTGCAAAAGTGGCAGGTATACGTGGTTTCTTCTGGATGTGTATCTGTATATTGTTTGTATATATTAACGTATACAAGATCATCACTACACCTGTGACACATTAAGAGTTCCTGATGCTCTATATCCTCGTGGTCTATTCTATCGGTGATTGATTTAAATTTCTGGGTGCAAAATCTACATACATTGATGTCATATAATGTTTTTGCGGTTTTTAGATTTTGGATAGGTAGGTGTGTCGACTGGGTACAGCTCTGGGCAGTCATCATCTGCTAGATCCAAGGTGGCAGTTGTGGCTGAAAAGGGTTGGGCCCAGGATTTCATTAAGCCACCCGAACCGTAGTCCGGGTGGCTCCTCCCCAAGTCTCTCGACCCAGGGGGAACACCCAAGGGAGCAACCCCTTTGCTGGTGCTGACAATTTTTGCGTAAGTCATCCGGCTAGGACAGGGGTCGGCAACCTTTTGAGACAGAAGAGCCAAAAGTTACAATTTACAAAATTTCCAAGTTTTTAAAGAGCCGCCAACATTTTTATATTATTATTTTTAATATTATGATCTTTAATTATGATTTAGTATATATATTTTATATATATATATATATATATATATATATATATATATATATATATATATATATATATATATATATATATATATATATATATATATATATTGCAAAACAAAATTAATTTCGCAAGGGCGGCGCCCCAGGGGGGAAGGGGGGGGGGGGGGGTAGAGGTGCGATTTTTCTCAATATACGGTAAAAAAATGTGTATGCGGTTTGACACAGTTTATCCGAGTGCCATGAAACTTTGGGGAGTAAATAAAAATACTCCCGAGAAGATTTCTGCGAAAAAAAAAATTAAAATTTCTTATGGGCGGCGCCCGAGTTAGTGCATTTTTTTGTCAATACACGTTTTGGCGCCCAGAGTTCCAGAGCGGCTATGTTAGTACTTGGCAGCATCCGTTAATCGGGCGTTCTGCATTGCCAAGTCGTAAGGGGTACTACTACATTCAGCGGCAAAACCGCCGGCGCCTCGTCCATTGCGCGACCCGAAGAGCCGCGCTCTCACCTGCGAGCACTAAAAAGCCTACATTCGTTTTTTTAAGTCTGTACACTATAAACACGATGGGCAACAATACGTTCATTTTAAACAGCGCGATAGGCTATGGATACAATGGATTGCTATAGTCGCTCACTAAATTGAGTCACTGCAGGGTGCGATTTGGCGCCCAGTGCTATCCCGTGAGCACTAAGCGCCTACCTTAGTTTTAAGGAGCACACTACAAGACGACATTCCGAGCTAGGGGCCGTACGCGGCGCCCGGCGGTAGTGTTATCGAATTCACGAGAGCGCCACTTACCGTCGGTGAGTGATTAACGGTGATATTACGGTGAGTGATTGACTTACACTCAAGGCTTTCATACAGCACGCCATGGTGGTGGGCGGTAGTGTAGGAAACCAGTGCCCCGAAAAATATGATCCAAACACAGGAATTGTTTACATTTAAATAACTTAGTTTTAGGAAACAAGGAAGTAGGCCTACTTTGAAATATCGAGTAACTAAATGTTCTAATAGAATAGCGAGTGTTTACTGTTAATATTTATTATTATATCGTTCATTACTGAGTGTTGCAGAATAATACATTTAAGAGTTTTAAAAATAAAATAAAATAATTATTTATGTTTGTGCATCGAGCTGAAGAGCCGCATCTTGACACCTAAAGAGCCACAGGTTGCCGACACCAGGGCTAGGAGATGACATCATTGGATGATGTGTTCACATATATCGATCTTTTTTTTCTTTTTTTTTTTTTCTCTTTTTATCGATCTTTGCCAAAAGGCCGAGAAGCGCAGTAAATACGCGAAAAAAAACCCTCAGTAAACAAAATACTAAAAACGTTTAAAGTAATCTTCTTTGTATTAATGTTACAGCTGGTTGATACTATGGACTACTGGTTTTTGTATTAAAAGCTAACAATTACTATCAAACGTAATTAATATATTCTTTTGTAATCACCAAAATATTCAAATTTTTTTATACCTTAATTTTTTCATAATTAATACCTACGTATTTTTACTTGCTTTTTTTCAATATATGTTAATATTTCTTTCTTCTTTTTTTATTGTTTAATTTTAAAAATTAACTCCCTTAACAAAAATACTTATTTGTTTATTTCCCCTGACAAGAAGTTCTACGCGCGAGATATTTTGACTGAAACAGAAGACGACAGCAAACCGCTGTGAATTATGTTACACCTTGGTGCACTCTAAGGTTAACACAAATCTTCTGTGTCCGTTTTTCATTCAATGTTTGGTGAGGTTGGCGAGGTGGGTGAGTGTGTGATGGAATCTAGTAACGGGGAGTTGAATGTTTGGGTGATTTTGGTGGAGACGATTTTGTATCGAGTTTAGATTTCGGAGATTTTAAGTGTGGAAGAGTTTAGTGTGGAAGAATTTAGTGGGGTGAAATTTAGTGGGGGAGAATTTAGTGTGGGAGAATTTAGTGTGGGAGAATTTAGTGTGAGAGAATTTAGTGTGGAAGAATTTAGTGTGGGAGAATTTAGTGTGTGAGAATTTAGTGCGGCGGAAAATTTAGTGTGGGAGTAATTAATTTGGGAGAATTTAGTGTGAGAAAATTCAGAGTGCGAGAATTTAGTGTCAGAGAATTTATTGTAAGAGAATTTAGTGTGTAAGAAAATAGTGTGGAAGAATTTAGTGTGAGAATATTGAGTGTGGGAAAATTTAGTGTGGGAGAATTTAGTGTGGGAGAATTTATTGCAGGAGAACTTATTTTGTGGGAATTTAGTTTGGGGGAATTTAGTGTGGGAGAATTTAGTGTGAGAGAATTTAGTGTTGGAGAATTTAGTGTGGGATAATTTAGTGTGTGGAAATTAAGATGGTCGAAATGATTGTGTGGTGTTGTAGTGTAGGCAAAAAAATTATTTGAGTGCTTGTGTGTATATAAATAAATCTACGTGAGATTGCGTTTACTGTGGGTAAGTTGAGTGGGGGTGGTTGGATTAGTGGGGGTGTTGGATTAGTGGGGGGGGGGGGGAGTTGTCCTTCTGGGTGTGGTTTAATCGACCTCCAGATTAAGTGACAATGTGACGGATTGCGTCATTTGTATAACGTTGCTTTATTTATTTCTTCATCTAAGACTAAATAGTAGGGGAAAAACATGTCTAATTCCCGATATAGTAAAGAGCTTTCACAAGCGTTAAATAACAAAAGAAAGAGTACACGCCTTAATTTGTTCTCTAACGTGAATTAGTTATACATTAGAGCTGGGTGGACTCATTGAAGTTTTGTTTACTTGAACCCGGATTCGAACTCAAGACTTTCGGGTTAGCAGTCTAGCGCCTGACACTATTAAAATGGTAAATAAGGAAAGTTACCCTTTCAAACCAGGCGGTCAAAGAGGTAGATGAAGTAGAGTTCACCTGTTTATGTGACCTCAGCCTGTGCTGAAATAGTGTGTTCGTTAGTATTTCTAGCCATCAGAGATGAATGAATATAGGAATCGCCTACGGACTCCAACCCGGTATTCGAACTCGAGGCTTTCGTGTTAGCAGTTGTGTGCTCTACAGTCCGACCACGCCGTCCCATTTAAAGTGTTGGAAACAGCCTAGTAATTTCATTCAAAATATTCAGGGTGAGGGGGGGGGGGGGGGCACCAGTTTGTATCTTACTCAAAAGAAAGCGTTTATTTTTCTATTTCTAGATCTGTTAGTCCATTTTTGTGGCAACGAATGCCTATGCTTGAAGTGTCCTAGATGGGCTACTCATTAGAGGCAAATATTAAAGTGGCTTTCCTTAAAAGTGGCCCAGGTTTGCCTTTTCCATAAAATTGGCCAATGTTGGCCTTTCCACAAAAGTGGCCCAGATGGCTTAAGTTGGTCTCTATGCACGTAACATCGCCTCTTGTTGAAATCACGAACACGTCAAAAGACAACTCAATACAAAGTTGTACAAAGGCACAGTGTTCAAATACCTAGTACGACGTGCAGTATTCGTACCAACTGCCTCAAGTTTTGGACCAGTAAAGTTATTTTGGAAGTTTTAAATAACAACACTATGACTGCAATATCAAAATTAAATCAATGTTTTCGTGTTTTTTAAAAATGTATAAAAATTTCCACAAAACTTATATGACAAGATCACAGAGCTCAGGGAAGGGGGCGGGGAAGAGGAAGAACATGAGGAGGATGTAGACGATGGCGAACCAGCGGTACTCGGCCGTGCAGTTGCCTAGAAATTTGGCAAGCGGGATGGGGAAGCGGAGGTAGGGGATGGGGTAGAACAGGAGGATGCCGGTGATGTTGAAGAAGAGGTGGCAGAAGGCTGCTTGTAACGCGTTTCTGAGGCTGAGAGAATCGCCGTGGTCGTGGTGCCGATGTTTGACCCCAGGGTCAAAGGGTACATCCGGTCGAGTTCGATGACCCCGATGCCGACTAGCGGGGTGAGGGTGGAGGTGAAGATGCAGGAGCTCTGAACGATGATGGTCAACCCGGCGCCGATGATGATGGCGAGGTATCCGGTGAGGTAGCCCAGCGGTCCGGGAAAGTCCGCGTTGATGAATTTTTTGATGATGAGAGGAGTGGGACCTTGGAGAAGGGAGTGCAGCAGTTTGACATTGGCGACCAGACAAAGGCAGAGAATGGTAAGGGAGATAACTAGCATGATTGCTCCGATTGCTTTGTCGTTTAATGTGGAGTACATTCCCTTGAAAAAAAAAACCTAAAGGTTAAAATATAATAATCATATATTACAAAGATCAAAGTTGCATTCAAGAATTAACATTAGTTAATTGTGTTAAAAATAAAAATATTTTAATTATATATTTATATTCATAGTAAGAAAACCGGGATTTTCTTGAAACAAAAGAAACTATAAATACGTTTAAAAATGTTACTGCTAGGTTTAAAGTTTGTTATTATTTAACATATTCACTGTTCTAATGGTTTTTTTTTTAAATGTTAATTTCATATAACCCTAGCACAGTGGTCGGCAAACTTTGGAACCGATGAGCCTAAATTTACAATTTACAAAATATCCCAGCTTTTAAAGAGCCACTAACATTATTTTTTTTCAATATTTTGGTATTTGATAAGGATTAGGTAAATGCATTTGATTTTGATTTGAAATAAATAGCGCTAAATATGAAGTTAGTATTTTATATAAGAACAAACAAATGTTTCGCACAAAAACTGTTTTAGCAAGATCTGCTATGATAAAATTAGAAATCACTTAATATAACTATAGGACTATGCCAATCCACTTTAGAAGCCACTAACTTTTTGTTTCTTTCTTTACGGGCACCACTGGTTCAGTAGGTATCTTTCATAGCCAGTCAGGCCTCAGCACGGCAAACTCTGACTAGCTGGTTTGCATATTGGTTTGATTACTGTATTGGTCGCTTCTGTCTTTCAGTTCTCACAAGGCTTATCTTTCACCCCACGCGAACCCAGAGTCTAGTACCTTATAGCTCAACCGTAGGAAACTAATAACTAAAATATTACGTCACTCAGGTCAAATTAATGCATACTGACAGGTAGAGGAATGCATTCTGAATAAAATAACATTCCCCATGTTACGACAATCGAAAATGGCGGCCCTTGGGCAGTGGCAAGCAAGGAATGGTCGCCACGGGGCTTGCTACAGCGCGGCTGTGGGGTTGGGCCTGGTGCCAAGGCGGCTGTCAGCTGTCCATTTACTTTCTACCTCACCTATTCTCACTGTTCTCTGATGAGTTTTTTAATCCTATTTAAAGTTGTTTTTCTTTACAGCATAATATTTTTATTAGTTTTGAAAATGAAACTAAACAATTAGTAATCATTGTGCATGGAACTGGAGAGCCGCACCATGACATTAAAGGAGCCGTATGCGGCTCGCGAGCCGCAAGTTGCCGACCCCCGCGCTAACATATTATATGATACTTCAGTATATTTTTTTTTTTTTTTTTGGCGTTTAATATTGTTCCTTCCACAAGTGGATAGGTTGCATGTTAAAAAATTACAATGTGATACATAGTATAACATTTAAAAAGATTTACAATGTCTTAATATTCCTTCTGATTTCTTTGTTCCATGTTTCTTTGTTCCGATTTCTTGGTTCCATTTGTTTCTTTCTTGATTTTGTTTCTGGTTTGCTATGACATAAAGTACAGGACAGTACAAACATGATCGCTTCTCTGTTTTTTGGCCTTTCTTCTTGTGCTTGATACGCTCTTGGTTTGATAATGGTTTATTCTTTGTTGGTAGTTGTACTTGGTGAGAGTGAGTTTGGTGTCTTGACGTTGATGGTGGAGTTGGTCGAATGGTGTAGAACTTGGAGAGGGTGGTTGAGGTAGTGTTCTTGCGTTGAGATGAGGTATGATGCGCATGGTAGTAGAGTTGTTCGATGCATTGAAGCTTGGGGAGATGAGTTGGGTAGGTCCTTGTGTTGAGAGATCTTTCGAGGTGAGTTGCTTTGAAGTATTGTTCATTGTGATTTGAGGAGTAGTAACGTGAAGTAGTCGAGTAATTGAGTTGGGCGGGGTGACGTTGAAGAGTGAAGTTTGCTGATGTTGCTGAGTCGATGGTTTTGAGCTTGGTGAAGTGTTGAGGTGGGCGAGGTAGAGCTGTTGGCGATTGTTTATTTTGAGTAGATGATCTTGAGAGATGGTTAGTTGATTTGCTAGTGTTTTGACGGAAGCTTCCCACCTAAGATTTCTCCTAGGTGGGTGTCGTCAGAGTGTTAGTGAGTTTGTTGGGAGCGAGATAGATACGTTTGACGTAGTAGATGAGTTCGATTTGATGGCGATAGACAGACCTCCCACCTAAGATTTCTCCTAGATGGGTGTCGTCAGGCTGAAAAATAAAAGATTGAAAAGTTAGCCACTCGTACATTTGAAGCCACCCAATACAAGTACTGGGTGACTCATCTCGAGAGCGTGTGCGTTCGAGGGATGTGTGGGAGCAACCCCACAGCGGTCGTTGGCGAGATTTGCGTGAGTTAGAGTAGTAGATTTGACCGCCTCTCGACCCCGGTGGCCAGCCCTAAAAAGGGCTGACCAACCAAATGGCTAAGATCCGTGTAGATCCATAACAGATACTACACTTTGATCTTAGCCAAAAGGCCGAGAAGCGGGTTATTTTTTTATTTTATTTTTTTTTTTTTTTTTCTTTTTTGAAATTTTCTAAAAAATGTTTTTTTTTTTGTTTTTTTTTTTTTCCGGCAATTTTTTTTTTTACTTTTATTTGCAATTTAAAACAAGTGCAACAACATCAGCATATTTTACATTTTTCTAAATGTTCTTAAAAAAAACATATCAAGATGAATTTACAAATGTATACACCTTTTTTACTAAATTTTATCATCTAATGAAACTATTTTGTCCGGATGAGCGTATTAATAATAAGTATGTACATGGTTATCATATTTGTTTTATATATGTTGTTATACAAAATTTTAAGGGATAATCAGTAAAAGGGGTTAAAGTAAAATGATAGTGTTGGAATCCGGATGAGGAGGGATTGACAAAACTTGTTTAAGTGGTGAGTACAGCGTGTCATATTTGAAGAGTTGTTTATGTTCTGTCGTCTGCATATATGTAAGAAATGGATCTGTCTGGGTTGAGGATGTAGAATATTTGATTGTGGCAGGGGTCGTTGTCGGGGTGCTGGTCGTTGAGGTGTTTTTCTATGTCGTATTTGGTGTATAGACTTGTTAGGCAGTATCCACACTGGAAGACAGCGGTGTCTGGGTGTTTTAGTACGTGGTGCTTTATTGCTCCTCTGCTTTTGATTAGATTGTTGCAATGCGGGCATTTACTCGTATCAGGATGGGAAGTTTTTGTATGTGTTTTACACTCGCTGGCAGTACTGAAACTGTGAAAGCAATAACCGCAGCTCTTGTCTTTTCCAGGAGTTAAAGGTTTGGGAATTTGAATTGGTTCAGTGGTAGTTTCTTGTTGCGGCTGGGTTTCTAAGGTGTTTTGTCAGGCGATCGAAGATTTGATTCGCGAGTTTTTTTGTTAATTTTCCTTGTTCTGTGGGGCTGATTTCATTTTTTCTTTTCATTGACGTGGTGTTATCTATTTCTGAATCTGGGCTTTGTGTTTCTCCAGTGTTTTGGATTTTTGTTGATGCAGTTGGTGACTTCGGGTAAGCCGTACTTGGGATCGCTTTTTGGTTCGACAGGTTAGGGGTTACCAATGTTTGCTGCGGTTTGGGTGGTGCTCTAGGTGGTTCTGTTAAAATTGTCTGTGAGGATGGTTGTTGAGTTGGTTCCTGTATTGTTGACAGGTGAACATTGGGTGTTGACTCAGGTGTTGATGATTGGCAGTGGTTGGTCCAGTGTCTGTCCGAGCCGCACACCTGACAGGCTTGGCGTCTTCCTGGCAGTGCGATGAGGATATTACGTGTTGTGTCTTTGTATGTAATTTGGATGTAGTGTGGGATGTGTTGTGGATTGTCGTTCTGGATGGTGAATCTGCGATTGTTTGTGTGCGGGATTGTGGTTATTGTAGCTGTAGATTTGCTGACTGTTTGCAGTGCCTTAATCAGTGTTTCGTTGCTCAGGGCTGGCGGGACCCATCTAAGGGTTCTGATGATTTTGTCCTTGTGGTATCTGTCGAATTTCAAAGTGTATGGGCCGTGTGTTTTTGTGGTGCCGTCCAGATCCGCTACATCAAACTCGTTGGACGAGAAGTACCAGGTATCCCCTCGTCCATAGTTGAGCAGCAGGATCTGGTGTGGGCTAATGATATTGCGCAAGAGATGACCAGGGATATTCTGGTGGTTGGTTGATTGGATGGTGACTTGAATTACTGTAGGCGAGTCGAAGAGCTCAGGAGCTCAGGAGCTATTTCATCAGACTGGTCTATTGTGATTGTTGTCTTTATATCTGAAAGCGGGTTAAGTAGATTTGAAAAGATTAAGATGTATCAACACTATTATTGCATTAATTTTCTTGCTATAAATATTATAGCTGGTTGGTACTAGTGACTACTAATTATTGTATTAACAACTAACAATTACTAGGAGTTGTAATTAACATTTTGTTATTAATCACCAAGAGTTTTAAATTTTTGTTTTGTGATTTAATTTTTTATAATTAATACTAAAGTTTGTTTACTTGATTTTGCTTCATTATTAATTAATATTTTTTTTCATTTAAATTTATCGTTTAATTTTGTAATTACCTCCCATTAAATAAAAATTTGTTTGTTTTCTCCCCTGACAAAGAAATTCCACGTTCAAGATACTTTGACACAGGGGTCGACAACCTTTTGAGACGGAAGAGCCAAAAGTTACAATTTACGCACATTCCCAGTTTTTAAAGAGCCACTAACATTTTTTATTTCAATATTATGACTTTTTATTAGAAGACTGGCCAAAGGGACAGAACAAATAAAATACACACATTATACAATAGGTATAATTACACCCCCTAGTTTCCTCTGCAAGTAATCAATGCATTAGATATAAAACCTCACCCAACCAAACACCTCAACCAACATAGCCTTCCCCCCCACACAACCACGTCCCCTGTGGAGAAACTATCTTTTAATTAAGTAAACTAATTTTGTTGAAATCTCTTTTCAGCACAAGAAGCTCTCTAGCATACTGGAACTCCGGTCTTTGATGTTGCTATCATTTCAAAAAGTTTAACATTTAACTTAATTTAAGTGTTTATTA